CACCTGAAGGGTATCTCGCTTATTAGTGGACCAAAATTGATCCTATATCACATAAATATAACCAGCATAGTAAGGAGTCTTAAAATCCGCATATCAATTCTGAGAAAAACGTTTCGTTTCCATAGATACGGTGGCCATATTTAATTTTGTTGACATGTCTTACGTAATGAATACCGCACTAATCGTTCATGGAAATTGATTGGTTTTTTTTATTTGTACGTATGTTAGCAAAAATTAGATCTAAACATTTTCTGTTGTTTTTTTCTTAAACGAATTAGAAAATGTTTTATGAATTTTTTCCTGAGGTAGTATTCAAGTTTGCCAAAATCCGTGAAAATCCACACTCCAGACACCACCAACAACATCTATTCCATATTTCAAAACTTCAACAGACAATTTTTTAGTACATTACATTTTTTTTTTCCTGAGAAAATTTCATGAAGACTGGATGAAAAAAGCTGGAGTTATTCAAAAAAAGTGTAGAGAAAAATTGCGTTTTTGAGAAAACGGCCGATAAAAAAAATAGAAATATTGACTTTATGAGGAAATGGTGGTGATAAACATGCCCAGTATGGGAAAAAATCCGTTTTTTCTTGCCTCTTACCACAGGTCAACAATACACTGATGAAAAAAGTACAGACAGTCGAATATGTCTTGGGAGCATGTTCACGTCAGACGGATACATGGATAGAGACATTGAACCTAGAGCACATAGGGGAAAAGCGGCCATAATAAACAACCCAGCTTCCCCATCCTCTCCCATCAAAACATCCTCATGGAGACAAAGAACCAAGCAGTCAAATCAATCTCTATACCAACTCTCTGCTTTCAGAGCAAAACCTGGGCCCTCAACAAAGTGCATCAAAAGGAAGGCGAAGAAGAAAATGGATGGACGGAGTCAAAGAAGACGCTCCAAAGGAACAACATGGCGGTCCAACAACGACACACTTGGCCCATGTCTAACAACTGTATCTCCCATCAACCCATCGTGGTATGAGAAGACAGAAAAGTGGTGAAATGGTCTAGGTCTTAAGCCTCTATCAACACTTTTAGGTCATTCAAATTGAGAGGTGGGGTCTTCGAGTTTAACGTCCATCCCCGAAAGAACCGAGCCAAATGTGAACGTCGTGCAAAGCGCCTTTCCCAAGGACACAACGTCGGACCTAGCTGAGGATCGAACACTCGAACTCACAATCTCACGATTATGGGTCCTTGGGGTACAGACAAAATTTAAAAAGTAAAGTAAAGTTAGTATAGTGACACTCGATGCTTCAATGCCAAACAAAATGAGGGTGTTGTTCAAGGCAAAAATATCACTTTTTGCCATAATGATGGTACTTGTTTTGAACATTTACACAGGTCATTAAGTTTCTAAAATACCAAACAGTTGTACGATGTTCTACTTTGCAAGATAGAAATGGGAAGATAGGACCTATATTACGGTAATAGAGTTACTGTTATTTTGTTTCGAAAGTATTTTGGATGTGGCTTGAAGTTGAATTGTTTCAGAAAGTAAATTAGTGTTGGAAATGTATTTTCTCTCCACCTCCCCCCCCACCTCAGCTGGTATAAATACTCATACCCTCAATTATATTTAGAAAAAGAAATGCCCCCCCCCCAAAAAACCCCCCAAAAAAACAACAAACGACAAGCCTCTTATGATGCATTTGGATAAGCTGGCACTGTGTCAAATTTTCAAATGTGTAAAATATATCATACACGTGTTATATGTAAAATGTATTATACACGTGCATATAAAAAAAAATATCAATCTGTAAAATGTCCAACCTGAGAACGAAGAAGGAGTCCACGGAGACAAGAGCGTTGAGAATGGCCTGGAAGGTCCATGTGTGGGAGGAGGTAACCTGGTACTCCGCGTAGTTGGCTGGGGACATTTGTGCACATGGTCGGGGGCAAAGGCTGACTGTGTTTTCATATATCTATATATCAGTTCATGTATTCTTTGCTTTTTTTTCATGTATAAAATGTTTGCTTTTGAGGTAAATGTGGGGTGGAAGACAAAATTACAAATTTAATGACCCAATATATAAAACTTACTTGCTCTTTTTGAACGGCAAAGAAGCTGACAATGACTGGATTTATGAGTACATGCTTCCGTGATGTCAAGCAAGAAAGGCGAGTTGAATTTATTTATCTTAAAAATGAGAGGGGGAGGGGGTGGGGGGTGCAGTTGACCTTGACCTGAATCTGTCTGCGCTATGCCATGAGATGACGGGAGGTTCACTCACTTTTCCCCTGGTTGGCCATGCTGAAGGCGTGACCTAGCACCACCCAGCTCATGCTGTAGAACCGGATGCCGTTGACGCACGTGATCGTCCCAGAGCCTGTCTTCAGAGACAGAAGTTTGGCGCCATTGCTCCGTACAGAGAAGGAGAGGAAGAACTTGCCGAGCCAGCCTGGGGAACAGTTGGGGGTTATTTTGTTTTTCATTCTTTTGGTTTTTCCTTCTTTTGGTTTTACTTTGTTCGTTTAAGAAACGAAAAGAGCATCAACACAATAATGGTCGCTTTGTGCTGAAAAGCAAGACAAGCAGACAGACAGATACAATGGAGAAAAAAGCCAGAAGTAGCATCTACATGATCATTTGAGCCCTCAAAGCATCCTCAAGGTTCTTTAGGAACAAGACGTTTCGCTTATGCAGTGAAAGAAAAGAACATGAAGATAATGTGACTTTTACAGGGAGTCAGTGTCTCTGAAACACCACTGCATTCATCGCATAGAAGAAGAAGAAGAAGAAGAAGAAGAAGAAGAAGAAGAAGAAGAAGAAGAAGAAGAAGAAGAAGAAGACG